CTTTCTGTTGGCTTGGTATGTACGTGATCATCATAAATCGTGTCGGAAATGTGGGTTCGTGAACCTTGAACTCATGAAAATGTTGGCATAATCGTCATGAAGCCAAATACTGTCACTATCGACGGGTCGGTGATCGATTTGAGCATGGCTGTTGGCGATGTAGCAAGAGAACTGGTGGATACGTACAGCTCGGATGTAGCCCGAGACGTTACGTGCGGAGTGTTTTCAGGCCCACTGGCAATGACGCCTTCGACGACAGTAGACAGGTCATCTCGGCTGCGGTATGCCTCTGGTGAATACGACTCCAATGAACATGCTAGCCGCTTTGTGCTACATATGACGGAATGCTATTGGACTACTTGAAGCACAGCACCACCTGTGTATTGACTGATGATGCCCAAGAAGCCGGTCGTTCCTGACAAATAAGTAAGCTGGCAAGGTCAAGATACGTGCATCTGGCGTGATGGTCGCGGACTTCGTCTCCTGTACGTCGTTCATGAGCGACATGCCAAACCTGTGTCTTCCGTTCAGTTGCACAGAAAAGTCAGATGTAATCTCTCCTTACTGTGAGTACTTGGTCGGCACTGTAATAAGCGGTCTCTTTCGCCGAAGTTTATGAATGAGCAGACCCGGCCCGGGATGTTGGGAGGTTATTGCTGTCGCAAGCCAGACGTTCATTGTTACTCGACCAGGCCGTTGATATGCAGAAAGATTTTAGCAAGGCCATGAGGTATTTCCACGGCGGTTCCGAAGAACAAGTGGTGCTAAGTCCACATGGTTCAACGTTCCAAGGATCTCGTGGCCTCCAGGGCTCGCACCACTGCAGACAGGACACGACTCAAGAATCGTCAAGAACGGCCGCCTGTTCAAAAGCATCGAGACGAAAGGTATGATTACGAGTAAGTTGGGTAGTTATTTCGGTCTCACCAAAGGTGGTCGGCGTTGTACATGCGGAGAGCGGGCTGTGAGTCCGGATGGAATCAGGAGATGAAGGTGCGATGGCTCACGGGTCGGGCACGGAAATAACGACTAGCGCGTCGCTAGTACGGAAGTACAGCAAACCAGCCGTGCCTGCACAGATGCCGACATCACTATCGAATCTTACGAAAGCTGGCACGGCACATATCAGGATGACCGATATCAAAGAGCCCCAGACCACGATGCCTATTTGGTTCGAACAAAACCCTTCACACGACCATGTTCCTCCCGAGACCCATCGGCTTCTCGAAACGTGGAGTGGAATCCCATCAGATGACGTACTTGATCATGTTGTCCAACTTCGTGAGAAAGCCTGGAAGGTTCATCCATATCCTTGCATTGGGCAGTTTCGGTTTCTCGATCCCAGTTTCTCCGAGCTCCCGGACGAGCGCAAAGAGATTGTTGAACGCCTACGCAAAGGTCAAAAGCTGTTAGACATGGCTTGCTGCGTCGGCCAGACTATTCGTACGCTTGCGAACGATGGAGCACCGACTGAGAATATGTACGGTTGCGACTTGCAGTCAGACTTCATCGAGCTGGGTTATGAGTTGTTTCGCGATCGAGAGAAGCTCAAGACGAGGTTCTTGATAGCCGACATTTTCGATCCTCAATCAGCGCTCATGGGCATCAAAGGGCAGGTCGACATGGTATATGCCGGATCTTTCTTCCATCTGTGGGGATATGAGAAACAAGTCGAAGTCTCCAAAGCCGTGGTCGCGTTACTGTGCCCGCAACCAGGCTCGATGATACTCGGTCGACAGGTCGGAGCCACCGAGCCCCTCGAGAAGGAAGGTCCTACAGGCACGATGTATCGACATAATGTGGAGAGCTTTCAGAAGATGTGGAACGAGATAGGCAATGATCTCGGTATCGACTTCACCGTGGATGCCAAGCTCAAGCCGCTGGGTAGGGACCATCAGAAATTCCATCTGGACGACAGTACTAGGCGGCTGTGGTTTGTCGTACGCCGTGGATAGCGCGCTTCATCTCTGCATACCGTTCAAGGAAAATGTTAGACACCGATTATCAATACATGACCTAAAAGTCTACATTGTCTTAGGATGTTACCAGATTTCGTCGTTGTGTTGATGTAGTTTACAGCGCACTTGTTCAGTCTCTCCCTCGCATAGTTCATTGCTTTCTGGAATGTTCACGAGAACACTCAAACCGAGGTTTCCTGTGCCTTCCCGTGTAACGCAGTCAGTACGTCCGTCTCGGTCCGTACCTGAACAGGCATAGACGTTCAATTATTCGAAGTGTCTGGCCCGCATCTTCTGGTGCAAAGCCGTGCAAATAGCGTGGATTCATAAAGTCAGATCAGATCTGTATGCATCTTAGCGAAGAGCTCTAATGCAAAGTTCCGCACCAAGTGGACATTGTCACTATTTTTGCGCAGCAGCACTAACATATTCGCTCAACGCAGTTCAATTTTGCCGGGATGCGTAGGGATAAAGGATCCAACTACGGCAGCCCTGTCCGCGCTTTACTTTAAGCCTAATTCCCCATACTTTTCGATATTTCGCCTTCAATTTCGAGAAGGTTGCTGATTGGCCAATTCACTCTTGGACCGTAACGTCGGGAAAGCCACCTGCCTGGCTGCAGGAAGAAGTGCAAACTTCTGCTCGGTAAACATCAGTCGATCAAAATCTGCCGGCGGGAGACGGTCACGTTCTCGTGTTCATTTACGGCGGTAGCAGGAATGTATGCGTTCTAGCCCATCCTGACCGAGCCAGAACACCGAGGCAGGCAAGGGGTCTGTCGTTCATCTATCCAAATGAAATGCGAGATGCAATACTCAGCTCAGCCGCTTCTTTAGTGTGAAAATGTTGCGGTCGCAGGCATAGATATTGTCTATAAGACATGGACGTTCAGCATCAATCCCGGTACCAACTCATCCCCCCAAAGTCAACTTTTAGCCAAGGCCAGAAACGACATTATGAAGTTTTCCATAGGTTTGGCAGTAGCGCTCGCTGCAAGTGTAGAAGCGTCTAGTCGCATAAAGAGGCAGTTCGGATATCCTGATGGTAAGGACTCCAGGGCTCGTTTCGCACGTCGATGAATCTGTCTAACACCGTCATTAGTGGAAGATTGTGGATTAGATGCGTTTGATGGGCATACGTCTGAAGCGGCACTCTTCTGTAGCAACATCCTCCGCTCAGGAACCGCAACTTCTACCATAACCAGTGGCTACACCACCACCACTACTACCACCCGGAAGACCACGGTAACCATCCGGCCGACACCTACTTCTACACCGACGCCCAGCGCCACCCCTAAGCCAACGCCATCGTCTACGCCGAGGCCTACATCGTCATCGACCCCAATACCGTCTTCGTCTTCGACGCCCAAGCCGTCTTCATCTTCAACACCTAAGCCATCATCTTCGCCCACTCCTATACAGCCTTCTTCCACGATTGTTTCTTCAACTCTCGTCTCGAGCCCATCTCCGTACGTCCCTACAGCACAACAGTTCGCACACTGCAAATAGCTAACATCTCCACAGCACGCCCACAGGCACACCAAGCTGCGGCATTGTAGCATACGTCAAGACCACGCCAGCCTACTACTTCGAGTCCAGCGGTACAAAGAACACGTTCCAAGCCTGTAGCGCGCTTTGCAAGGCTGATAGCAAGTGTCTGAGTTTTGGCTACGGTGAAGCCAACTGCATGCTTTTCGACGTTACTGCGTAAGTCCAGCTCCTTTGCGTAATTCCAGCCTCTTGCTGACTGTACTCGTAGTATCGACAACACCAACTACAATCCCATGAGCCCGTACACATTCTACGACGCCGCCTGCCCCGCAGAGCTACCAGTACGTAAGCGTCAACTGGATATCTCGCTTGGTGGGCCAGGTGGTATTCACATCTCGCTTGGCCTCGGCAGCGGCGAGATATCCTCTGCATGCTCGTGCTTCATTACCAGGGGCCCAGCTAGTACGACAGTCACAAGGACAGTTTCCAGCGCGGTTGTCAGGACGAGCACTGTGACCAGTACTGTCACGAGAACGAGGGTCCCTGGTGCTGAGTGAACTAGACCACGGGAAGGCAGGACGGGCTGTTGACGAAAAGACTGAGATAGTGTTGCATATTTACTTCATTGTTCATCGCGTGTCCCCTTCCTGTTTAGATTGTCAGGTCTGACGTACTCTCTGAACTCAACATATCTCCACGGGCTTCTGGCTTGAATGCCTTTCCACCACCCACGAGATGCATGCGTGCTACCATCTCACGGACGGTGCTGCAGTTGCATGGACGTGCATCAACTGCCTTGATGGCCAGGCTTGACATCGCATGGTCCAGGACATCATGATCTGCGAACCAATAGTCTTATTCCAAATATGCTGCATGTCCCTCGTCTTCCTGACGATGGCCCTTTGCATGCTGGCTGAAAGCAGCTTCGTTGCGTATGTCATACCACGGCGGTCTTCGGGTCGTAGGCGCCGGCGCGCTCGTCGTGATAATTGTGCTGCTACGCGATATATCTGGGATTTTCCATAGAATGGTCGTTCATATTGAGACTATCGCGCGGGGAATATGGTCGCCATTGGAGGGCTGGAGATCGAGGAAGGCTTTGGGGAGAGCGAATAGACTAAGTCTCTGTGGCTATACTTTGTTAGCGAACATGCGTGTAGAATGAGTGTCCTATGTGACATACGCTGTATAGATCATTGGCGTTACAGCTGGTACATGGCGAAAGAATATTCGTCTCGTCTAACGCGTTCTTCTGAGAAGTCGCGCTTCCTCGCGAACGAGGACGCGTCAAACGGCCTCACCTATCGCCATTGTAACCGAGCTGCAGCACTGACAATTTGACAAAAGATATTACCCTTCTCCCAGTTCGGGTTTGGGGTTGTCGCGCTAGAGATCGACCAAACGATCATCGTACGGCGTGTACATGGTAGAGCGTGGATCCCCGCGTGGATGAGGGGCGACACCAGCGACGAACAATCGCTTAGCTCAGCCCCATCTACATACAACCTCCACCCAACCAACCACCCACCACAAAACCTACATATCCCCCACAATGGCGCATTTCTCTCAAATCACCAACCTAGCCGAATACGCCGCCTGCATCAAAGCCACAGCCGGAAAAACCGTCCTACTAGCCTACTGGCCCGAAGACGAAACCACTAACGAGGTAGCCACCGCCCTGCAAAAGCTACTCCCGTCAACATCCTACGAACAGTACGATGTAGTCGACATTTACTGCTTCGACATGTATTCACTGCCTGATCTGGGCAATATGCTAGATGTGAGCTTTGTGCCGACGCTGATGTGGTTCATGGATGGTGTTATGGATGCGATTGTTTGGCACGAGGGGTGTGCGATTGAGGGGGAGAGTGTAGAGAGGGGGGTTAAGAGAGTGGTGGATAGGATTAAGGGAGGGGATATTGCGGGGGAGGACAGTGATGATGATTGGTAGATGGGTGGGGGTTGGAAGAGGAGGATGAAGACTTTATCACGTTGAAATCTGTGTCTTGGAGAAGCATGGAGAAGTCTGTGGAGAGAAATTGTGGGTATCGAGCACCGGCTTGATAGTAACTTCTCTCGACTTCGTTACAATCCCTGGAAGCGAAATGCTCGACGTGGGGAGCTGGCTATGGCTACCTTTGGACTTATGTCATGGAGTTCTGCAGAGCATCTTACATTCGATTGGCGTCTATCGACTGGAAAGATCCACCGGAAAACGACGCATCCTAGTATGTCTTCAATCTGGTCAACCATGTTCATCAGCTTTCTTACCAAATCCAAGAAAATCGAGTCTAGCTCCCCTCCCACACTATCGGTAATAGCAAGAGTCGCAGCTACCAATCCCCTGTTGAATCAATCTATGACAGTGCAAGAAGCCAGCGCCAACTTTGCGCTTTCTGAACCCGCAGTAATTGCACTTTTTCGACTCACGCTGGCCTCGGCAAAACACTAGAAAGAAATACCCTCTTCTCCAGCTCCGCGACAAACTCTACCAACAAGCGGTTTGCTTTACAAAGTTCTAGAAATATGCGATCTGGACCCAATTGAAACCATACAAATATCAGCCCCCTGCCCTAATTCTACCTAATATCGATCCTTTGCCTAGTATTACCCCAATATCCGCCTTTCCTACACCAGGTACCCAAACGTCAATGGCGGGAAGCAACAGCGAAGAACCACTGGTGGCTTATTTCATCCGAGAGATACAGCGGAAGGATGAAGAGATTGAGGTCATGCGAACGCAGAAGCGCGACGACGACGCAGCCCTCCGTATCGCTCACGAGAGGATCGCTCAGCTTGAGAAGCAGATAAAGAAGCAGATAGCGATAAAAACACAGCCCTGGCCAAGAGGACAGCACAATAACGATGAGTGTAGCCGTTCTTTCGCCGGTAAGGTAAAGTCCACTGCTGACGCTGCCACTGGCAAGGCGCTCGAGGGCAAACAACCAATTATGCCGACTACCAAAGCATCTCTATCGTCCGAGAAGTTCCAAATTCCCGGCAAAAAAAAGGAGAAAACACTGGTACAATTCTTGGCAAAAGACCAACATGAAGAGAGCCTATAGAAACGACGAGGTCATGGAGATGAAGCTCCCGTGTTTCGACCCTGATTTCGACCACGTAGGCATTGCACGTCCAGTAGAGAACCCTGACGATCGGCACGTAGAGTGCCGCTATTGCCTTCAATTTTACACAAAGGAGGACTTGTGGGATCACGTGGACGTCTGCAGGGCTTTCTGGAGTCTTGCCATACATTGTGGGCATTGTCGCGGGATCTTCAAACACAACCGTGCATGTTGCAGTTAGGCAATACTGAGATGTGTGAGAACCATTACACGCTGGCGAAGGCTAGGGTCTGAAGCGCGGTTCAGGGTTCGCGGGCATCGATCTCATAGTTTCGATGTCTGAGGACCGTAGTAGGATAGAAGGTACTGCAAACTCAGTAGGATGAAAGCATTACACAAATTTCCCAATATTAAAATGTAGCTACATGATTGTGATTTGGAATGAACAGCGCCACATGGCGCAGGTGTGCATATACCTGAAATCATCACCCACACGTTGAACAAAAGAAACAAACATAAGTAGTTCTCTGACGCGTTCCCACAGAGAGTATCCGCACTATGGCAAGCGACGCGATGTCAACCTAGAGAATCATGCAGGTTCGGGTTGTATGATGCGTCATCGGACTAGGCACGCTCCGATGCCTACACCCGTGCTTTGATGGCGTCGTGGAGTATCTAGACGCGGTGAAGCTGCTAGACTACTACCATCTGAACTCTGATACTTCCCGCCATGCCTACGCGCCTCTAGCACGTCTCCGGCACCCGTCAGTCTCGCCATGAAGTGTTGATGATCGCGTCTAGGGCTCTCGCCAAGACTTGCACGGTACCGGGAGACGGCTATCTCAAAAGCTCCTTATTCACTACCCCGGGTGGCTCCACTCATGGCCGCCGTCCATGCTCAACCCACGAGTGCACACGATGCCAACGACCAGGCGCTGTGGCCTCAGGCCCCGGTGCAGCTCCAACGAGGGCGGCAGCCAAAGGACTCGCAGGCCAAGATCGTGTCCTTTGGCCCTGTGCGCTCCCTCGACCAATTCGAGACGTCGTTGCGCGAATACCTGAGGAGTCCCCCCAAGGAGCCTGAGCACACCGAGGCCCAATTCGCCTTCGATATCGACACGTCCTTCGCAGTCCCGTCGGCAGCTAAGCAGACGCCGTCCCAGCAGCCTCAGCAGGCAACTCAGCCGCCGCCGCCGCAACAACAACACCCACCACCCCACCTGGCACATCAATACAACCATGCACCACCCGGCTACCAGTCAGCGCATTTCCCCGCGCAGTACCACTCCCTCTCGGACCCCACTGGCGCGCTGGGGCACAGCTACGCCGAGTCTATTGAACCCAACAACGGCGCGTCCAAGACAGCGGAGCAGAAAGTCGCATTGAGCGTCAGAGAGGCGCTGCAGCCGACGCCGGACTCCAAGGAGAAGATGCGCAAGCAGAGGGCGGTTGCCAAGTGCTGCGTGGACAGAATACAGAGGATCGACGGATACCGCTACAGCTTCCACAACTGCTGGAACAGCCGGGAGGACGACAGCTACCGCTTCTCCTACTACTGCAACGACTCGCTGCTCAACAAAGACCGCGCTGCCAACGGAAAGGGCGCGAAGGTAGGAAAGCGCGCCACGAAGCCCGTCTACGACTGCAAGGGCGTCTTGTCCATCAAGTTCTCGGCCACCAAACAGACGCTCGACGTCTTCTACAAGCATGTGCCCATACACAAGACATACGAAGAGCGCGCCCCGCCGCCACGAAAGGACTCGAAGCGCCGCAAGTATCTGGAGGAGAACGACCCAGAGGCGCTGGCCAGGCTCGCAAGCCGCTCGAGGCAGCTGAGCAGCGAAGACCCGGACACACCCAGGGTGTTGAAGAAGAAGCGATCCGACCCTCTACCAGAGCCCCCGAGGCCCTTCAACACAATCGAGAGCGATTTGAGGCAACAGAGTCTGCGTTCGTTGTTGGAGCTGATCCAGCCACCAGCCGAGTCACAGCATACAATCATCGAAACTCCTCCACCTCCTCCGCCACCTCCGCCTCCGCCTCAGCATCCCCCTCCGCAAAGACCCCACCCCGGACCACGCCCTACACTACACGTTGAAACGCAAGCCATAGCAGCACCACAGCGGAAACGTCCAAGGAATAGCTGCGACGTCTGCAAGGCAAAGAAGACCAAGGTAAGACATCGCCCATGGCATGTTCAAGTAGTGGGAGCTGACATACGCAGTGCGATGGCATAAGACCTGCCTGTTCGACCTGTAACGACAAGAAACGGGTGTGCTTCTACTCGGAGCCAGCCAACGGCGAGGACCAGCGCCCACCCACCAATGCCCCCGAACCCGCACGTCAATCTGCGAACAATGCCATGTCCGAGCTTGAGATGCTGAAGAAACAGCTTGAGGAAGCAAAGGCCAAGATACGAGAGTTTGAGTCGGAGAAGCGAGCGTCGACTACTCCTGTTCAGACGCCGCAGATGGGACCGCGGCCTCGATCGCAGCAATCTAAAGCCCAGCAGCAACCGCCGCAACCGCATCCGCAGCCCACACCACAACCACAACAGGTACATATGCAACAACAGTCACAGCAAATGCAGGTCCCACCACAGTCCCGCCATCGGCCACATGTCGCTCAAGCGCAGGCCCTACCTCATGCTTCTCAGCAGCTGCAGCGTCAACAGTCGATTCCGAACCACCGCCAACAACTGCAGCAACTCAACCAGGGCCTCCCGCATGGCATACGAAGCCCGCAGCAGCAACTAGCCTACAAAATGGGTAGTCAATCACCTCAACAGCGCCTACCGAACGCGCCGCAACAACCTCAGCAGACACAGCCTCAGCAGATTGGGCCCCCGCAACAATCTCTCACGCCGCAACAACAGTTCCAAGCAGCAGCCGCGCAGCAAATGCAGACTACGCAGCTCCAGACACACCCAAACTACTTTACCGCCAATCACTCCAACCACTCTCCGTACGGAACCCTCCACCGAACCATGCCACAGAATACGCTGCCAGTCAACACTATGGCCACCCAGCCTATGGTGGCGCAGAATAGCATAGCGGGTCAGACGAACGCACACCTACCGCAGACGCAACCTCAACAGCCACCCGCACCCGCCATCGATACGAGCAATGGATTTGGGCGCGGCGACTTTGCATGGGCGCCGAATGGATACTATGGCTACCAAAACGCGGCACCGCAGCAGCAGCAGCAGCAACAAAACCAACAGCAGAATCAACAACAGCAGCAGCAGGACCAATGGGCCGCGGCAAGAGGGACACAGGTGTTCAGATAAGCACCGCGCAGCCTGATTGTTATCAAAGAAGTGGCTGGTTATCATTTTACGAGACAAATATTGCAGTTACCTTAGCGAGTTTATCATGATCTAGCAAGTTTGGCGTTGAGAAAGGATATATACACATACCAGATACCCAGGATATACGAATATGAATGAAGGAATGATCACCCACTGCATAAAACACGTACAGAAGAAGTAGAACGGTGACCATATGTCTTGATAAACGTGTTGATTCATCCGTTAAACTGCGCTACATCATGATTCCAACGCCAGAATGCTGCTTAATGACCTTTCTCCCAGAGCCTGTATATGTACGCCATGCCGCTCCCAAAACACCTTGCAAATGCTAGCCGCCGCGCCATCTTCCTTCAGTAGCATACGCCGGAGAGGTGCTGTCATGAATGATCTACTAGAACCCAATCTTTTGACCTAGACCTCGGAACGTGTCACTGATGCCACCGCCCATGCCAGATGACTTGTCGTTCATCTTCTGCGACGAGATTTCCATACCTGCTGCCTGCATATTGAGGCGCGTTAAGCGGAGGCGCAGGGTGTGATCGTATGCTTCGGCCATTTTGAGAGCGTCGGCGTGGA